AGCATGACTTTCAGCCCTTTTCCACCAAAAACCACAAAAAAGCCCCTTAAACACATATCAATGCCCTCCACACAAACCGTAAATTTCTCAAATTTCATTTTTTATCTGTGTCTTTCCCAACATGGCAACCACAAGGTGACACTTCACTTCCAGCTGCTATTTTGGCAAAGGGACAACAGTTTCCAGTGGGAGGATGCACCCTGTAGGGGAGGTCAAAGAAAAAATGGTCTCCTCTCACCAACAGTTGCTTATCCCTACCTATAACAAATTTTCAATCTGTCATTTACCAGGGATATGTACACTTGCTCTCAGGTAAGTACTTAAGCTGTAAACATACACAGCTGGAGAACTAGGACTGGCTACACCGCATCAAAGTACATATGTGACTCTTTTTTTCCGCCCCTAGCACTGAAATCAGCCAAAGACTCAGGTATGCAGCCTGGGACAGAAGAAGCCATTGGAGTTGTACATGAAACATGTATCTGCAAGAGTACTTGGTATATGGCTAGCCAGCATTTTTGCAGCATGGGGTTCACATTTTCTCCTCTATCTGCATCATATACACATAAGAAGAACCTCACAGAAGAAATTAATATTCACAGGAAGGCAATAAACTTGAGAAAAGTTTACACAGGTTGAATATCCCTTACCTGAAAATCCTACATCCAAAACACTCCAAAATAAAAAAACTTTTTAATGGGTGGCTAAGATAGTGACATCTTTGCTTTCTAATGATTCAATGTATGTAAGCTTTGTTTTATGCACACAATTATTAATATATTGTATAAGATTAGCTTCAGGCAATTTGTATAAGATGCATATGAACCATAAATGAATTTCATGTTTAGACCTGGGTCCCATCTCCAAGATATCTCATTATGTATATGCAACTATTCCAAAATCCAAAACACTTCTGGTCCCAAGCATTTTGGATAAAGGGTACTCAACATGTACAGTGATTTCTTAATGGTGCGTAATACTTAGTTGTACTGCTCTTGCCACTTTTGTCCTGTCAGACTGCTAGTGATAGTCAGGTTAAGACCAATAAAAAACCTAATGAAGCAAGCAATAGAAGCTGTGCTCCTTTGCCTGCTTGTTTTGATCTGTTAGCAATCATCCTTTACTTGACTGAGTAGTGAAAATACATTTGCCTTTCCTCTTCCTAGGACATGTTTGTGCTGCACATTTATCACACCCTAACTGTCTATGCTTGCACATTCCAATTACAGATATGTAGAATATGTAGGTGGTGCAAACTAATCTTCCTGTTATTGGTTGTGTAGCCCAGTTAAAATGAACAAAACCTGGCAATGAAACTATCATACAGTCACATTTACAGTACGCCAAATGTTCCTGACAGTGTTAGAAAAGAGTTGTCGAAGGAACTACTTACGCATCTCATTAACCCTTAATATTTACTTATGTGAGAGATTCTTTAAAATACTGGAGAGAATCTCAACAGGTTGCCATCTTTTTTGTTCTTTTTATTTATTTTATATTCTGCCTTTTTCCTGACAAGGGATCTAAGGCAGCTTACAATAAAGTAAACTTATCCTTCTGAACTATAAAAACTCCTAAGGCAATGTTCAGTAAAACTAGAAGTGACCATTTGCTATCACTGCCATAGAAAAACAAATCTTCAAGTCAGACTCATAAGATCTTAATAGGCTTTTTTCCATTTTTTTTAATGCTCAAACTGCAGGAAAAGATTTTTCAGATGAGATTTCCTCTTACTATGCCTGGTCTGCTATATACTGCTGCACTACATATAGCAGTGTGAGATAAAATGCAACTGATTTGATAACATCCATACAATTTTATAATAAGTAGGAACTGTAAAGTTCACAAAGGGATTGTGAAGCCAATTATCTTATCCTACTGACATACACACTACTGACAAAATAAATGCCAGCACTTGGTTTTAGAAGAATAGTTCTGCTTATTCATTTGAAATTCATTTCCTATCTCATGTCAACATTGAAAAACTATCCCTCTAAGTGGGGGAAAAAGCAGACTGACTTACATTAAACACGTTTCTGTGCTACCTCAACGCAATTTCTCTATTAATTCCTACTTGTCCCTCTTATTAAAGGCCAGGAGCGCTCCCACTATGAGAATGAGGAAGTAGTTCCAATAGCAGATGTGCACCCAAGATATGTTTGGCAACATCTGTGGTACCTAGAATATAGAGATATCAGTATTAGCCCCATGAAACTGTGGTATGGAACCCAAGTTTTATACAAGTAGGATAAAAGATTCTAACCTAACTACTATTTAATAAGCAAAAACATTCAGCCCCACCTTATTTTGCTAGAAACGTAGAACAATCAGCATAAACATGGCTTTGATTCATTATGGTGGATCAATGTTCGCAAGTTTAAATGAAGAAAAACTACTAGCTCATTTCATACACTGAAAGAAGAATACATACTTGAGGAAAAGTGAATCAGGCTGAGAATTTGTATCAGAGTTCATTGATATCATCAGCATTACTGTAACTTTGAGAATTTTAACAGCAAGTACCTTCCTGCTGAGCAAAGCAAATGAGAACTCACTTGCTAAGTAGGGTCTCTAATGCCTTTTGAAGAGGTTCTTTCAGGTCTTTAAATACTTTCTCTCCAAGATAAGCTAAGCAATCTTCAATGGAAGTCTCTGGGTTGGCAGGACTGAACACTGGAGATGTGTGGCAGTCAAAGCCAGTGCTTGTGAAAGCTGAAGAAAAACAGAGCATTTGTTTTATAACATATTAACAGAGGAAATCTCTTTCGCACACATTTCTTTTATATTAATATTTAAATGGTTTTAATTCTACAGACAGCTTAATAGCATTTTAATCATGTACTTTGGTATATTTTTAACTATACATGTTTTATCTATTAGTTTTTTTTATTTTGTAAGCTGCACTGAATCCCAGCTTTAGGAAGAAGGTACAGTATAAATAAAGGAATGGAACAGAGTAGAATTTGCCCAAAGACCATTAATGTTTGGCTGTGCGCCTTTCCTCTAAAAATAAGGACTTAACTAACATAATGATTTTAAGGAACAACATCAGCAGTCCAGAAAGAAAGTACACCAATATTCACAAACCTTCCAAAATTTCTTCATCAAGATGTTTCAACTCCTCCTCAATTTCTCTTTTAACTTTCTCTAGAATCTCCTTTTCTAAAGCTTGTGGGGTCGTAGCGGGTTCTGTCACTGAAATAAGCCAGAGGAGTCAGCCAAAATTGATGATCTTTTAGAAAACCCGAATAAGCAAAAAGCAGCTCACGTTAACCAGTGTTGTATATACTCCTTATTCCAACAAAGCAGAAGTGCTTAATTTTTCATAAAAATAAGAACTCAGGAACATCCAATTCATATTTTCAAATACCAAAGCTTTTTTTTTTTTTTAACAAAGGTCCAAAACACACTGCAGAAATAATCCAGTTTAGGACCACTTTAACTGCCTTGGCTCAGAGCTAGGGATTCCTGGGAATTGTAGTTTATTGTGGCATCAGAGCTCTCTGACGGAGAGAAAGCTAAATGTCTCACAAAGCCATAGTTTCTAGAATTCCCTAGCATTGAGCCAGGGCAGTTAAAGTGGTCTCAAACTGGATTATTTCTGCAGTGTGTTCTGGACCAAAGAAGAAGAATTTCATAATAAAAATAGTACATTTAGAGTTGCAATTGTTATGCATGCTTACCTGAGTGTAAATAATGTCTTCTGAGTAGATAGGAACAAAACTGTAGAATAAAACTGTTATTTAAAAATACTGGGGTTAAAAGTGGCTTTTCTGGTATGTACATGACCTAGCAATGTTGATCACCCATCTTCTTGGCATATTAATTTTTAGAATTGTTTTGCCTACTTTCTCCTATCTCTTGAGAACTGCCACAAGCATCTCATTGAAAGGCAAAATAGAAAAATATACTCCTACATTAATTACCATGTTATAATATATATTAACAGTTTTCTTTCAATATAGCAGTTACCTAAGTATTTAAGTAACCTGAAAATTCTCTTATTCATAAAATATTTGCAGGCTATTTGTTTAACTCCTTCACAGATCCAACTTAAGGTAATAATGGAAGTGTTTTATTTAATTTTTAAATGCTAGTGGACTTACCAAAAGATGATTCTGATTAATTTTCACTCCTCTTCATTATAGATTCCCACACAGTTAATGAATACTATGTTCTTCTAATTAAATTACTAATATCATGGAATTTAGAGGTACTCATTTTCCCATTTTTAAAAATGATGCTTTATGGAATATATTACAAGAATTGGCATGGCACGCCTACTCTACAACATGATGAATTCCATGGCTCCCTTCAATAGTACAAGGAAATAAGGGAATGTTTAAGTAGTGCAAATACTCAACTCCTATATTCTTATATCAATACTAGTATTCTTAGCTTTATTTCCAGTCCTCTTTCTCAGCTTGATCTCCTTTAAAACAATAGCCAAGTGATCTAAACTGGCTCATTTTGTTTGTAATGGAATTTCAAATTTGTTAGAAAGGTACAACAATCCTCTAACTCAGGGATGCACACTTTGTGGCTCCTCCAGATGTTGTTGGAAAACTGCCCTAAAAACTGCTCTACAACAAGTAGCTGAGAAAAAATATCACATTACAGAAAATAAGCACCTTATCTGGAGAACAGAGGAACCAATATTTTGTGTCATATCGCCCATTCAGAAAGTCTGAACAGTAGTTACACAAATTGCTGTTACACAAATCAAATCAAAGTTCTTCTGTTAGTGCCAGATCTGCCCTGCTCAACTGAGAATGAGTCCATTCAGAAGAACATAATTTTCTACAAGACATGAATGATGGTGATGGCAAATGATGGGCTGTCAAATCTGGAAAGAAATCAAGCTGAAAAAAACGAGGAAGAGAACTGAAATCCTTTCAGTACATAAGAATTCTGTTTATATAACCACTGTTGTCCCATCTGTGCTTTCTCATGTAATTATCAACGTCGCATTCAAACAGCAACCATTTAGCACTGCAAAAGTCAGTGTGGTACAGTGGTTTGAGCACTGGACTATGATTCTGGAGACCAGGATTCAAACCCCCATTCAGCCATGGAAACTCACTGGGTGACCTTGGGCAAGTCACACTCTCTCAGCTTCAGAGAAAGCTGAAGGCAAACCCCCTCTGAATAAATCTTGCCAAGAAAACCCTGTGACAAGTTAGCCTTAGGGTTTCTATAAGCTGGAAACAACTTGAGGGCAATCAATAACAACAAAGGACCAAAGGCAACATAGCAAATATTAATGCTGACCTGATAGACAGCAATAGGCAATACAGTCCTCTTTGTTCACAAAACTGCTGGCAAATAAGCAAACAAAGAAAAAAAATCCTCTTTGTTTCCAGGCAGATAAGCCTGTGGGGAAGGGAGTAACTAATAAACAGAACTAAGAAATAAAATGAGCAAAAAAATTTCAAGTTCTACCTTCTTCCGTTGCTAAAGATGAACCTGAGCAGCATCCAAGGTGCTTGCTTAAAACACTCAAAATATTCTTCAATTTTCAATATTCTTCAGTGGATTACTTCTAGGTTGAGGTCATGTGATGTTAAGGTTTTAAGTCTATGAATCCTGAAATTCTCCCTTTTGTCTAAAATGCTTGAAGGTGACAGGACCTCAGCACCAAGCAGGGACAATTCAGAGAGGCTGTGATGTTCTAAGTTGAAATGACTGGCCACTGGTCCTGCCGGTCACTCTGCTTCTAAAAATGACAATTCTTCAGGTACTTAGAGGTGATGCAATGCTTTGAATCGTAAGGGCACAATACTGGATTGCTGACTGCTGTTCTCAGGACAGTTTTGACTAACAATTTCTGTAGATTTTGTGGCTGGCAGAAAACTATAACTGGAGGCTTGCTGATGGCTCTAGCAAGATGTTCAGAATTTGTGAACAATGGATAGCTTTCTCTAATGGTAGTTAGGAGATACTGGATGGAGATCCACCACAAACGGGATGCACTATTGGCTGTTATTTGACTCATCTTTTGTGAAGAAAATTTTATCTCAAAATGATGGTTGCTCTCTGGAATTTTATGAGGAGGATATGTCCTTTGAAGCAGATGTTGTTTGAGTTCATTGGTCCTTTTTAGCAGTCTCCCCCCCTCCAGTGTTACTGAATCTTAGAGCCAAGCTGTATATAATATTTCTTTTAATGTTATTTTTTAAGTACTGTAGTGATCTTCATTGAATGTGAAATTATTTCAAGTGAGCATTAGTCCTGCTAACATTGTAATAATTTGTGTTGGAAGACCATTACAACTCCTAATAATAAAGACTCCATGTAAAGCCTGAATCCCTTTAGTATGTGGTTGTTTGGATAAAAGGAGGTATAGTATCTTCGCCAAATTGATGCTGTTGATTTAAAGATTTGATTCTGAGTCGGAAATTATTAGTGTCTTTGATATATAAAGGGAGATGTTTTGTTTTTTATCAAGTTCTGTAAATTTAATTATCAGAATCATAGGGCTGGAAGAGACCTCAAGGGCCATTAAGTCCAACCCCCTGCCATGCAGGAATACATAGATAAAGCACACACACCCCCACCCAACAGATGGCCATTCAGCCTCTCTTTAAAAACCTCCAAAGGAGACTCCATCACACTCTAGGGCAGTGAGTTCAACTGTTGAACAGCTCTTACTATCAAGAAGTTCTTCCTAATGTTGAGGTGGAATTTCTTTTCCTGTAGTTTTTATCCACTGCTCCGAGTCCTATTCTCTGGAGCTGTAGGAAGCAAACTTGCTCTGTCTTCAGTATGACATCCCTTCAAATATTTAAACAGGGCGATTACATCACCTCTTAACCTTCCCTTCTCCAGGCTCAACATACACTGTTCCCTAGGGGTGGTTTCAAGACCTTCCACCATTTTGTTCGCTCACCTCTGGAAATGTTCCAGCTAGTCAACATTGTTCTTGAATTGTGGTGCTCAGGACTGGACATAGTATTCCAGGTGAGGCCTCACCAAAGCAGAATATTGTGGTACTATTACTTCCCTCGATCTAGACACTATACTTCTACTGATGCAGCCTAGAATCAAAAAATTTTTTAGTTCCGACATCATACTGTTGAATTACATGCAACTTGTGGTCTACTAGGACTCCTAGATCTTTCACGTGTACTGTTGTTAACCCATCCTATATCTGTGCCTTTCATTATTTCTGCCTAAGTGTAGTACCTTACATTTCTCCTTGCAGAAATTAATTTGGTTAATTATTGCCCAGCTTTCTAATCTGTTAAAAGTCATTTTGAATTTTGATCTTGTCCTCTGGGGCATTAGCTACCTCTTCTAATTTGATGTCATCTGCAAATTTTATAAGCATGCCCTCTGTTCTTTCATCCAAGTTATTGATAAAGATGTTGAATAGCACTGGGCCCAGTACAGAACCTTGTAGCACCCCAATAAAATACAGAAAGAGAGAGAGAGATCTTTCTGTGGCTATGTTGTTACCTGAGAAAATGGGGCATCCTCAATAGTTGGCTTTGGGGATTTTTGGTAGTATATATAAATAACCAGCACTGGCATTTGGATTTCTAAGGGATCCGCTGTCTCTTTTTTAAGTGGTTCCTTATTAGTAATATGTTCATGACATTTTTAATATGTTCATGACTAGACTGAGGCTGTCATACTTTGGCCACATCATAAGAAGGCATGACTCACTGGAAAAAACAATAAGGCTAGGAAAGATGGAGGGAATCAGAAAGAGTGGAGGATAGGGAGTCTTGGAAATGTCTCATCTATAGGGTCGCCATGGGTCAAGATTAACTTGTGGGTGGATAACAACAACATGTTCATTTAGTTCCGTTGTGATGTCTTTGTCCAAATGTTTGTATATTTTTCATCTTTTAGCTGTCTAAGTCAGGGGTAGGCAACCTTTTTGAGCCAGGGGCTGGTCCCC